TTGTTGACTATGATGGCTACTCCATTTCTTCTAAGGGATTCTTGACCACAGTAGTGGATATAATGGTCATCTGAGTTAAATTCACCCCTTCCAGTCCATTTTAGTTTGCTGATTCCTAAAATGTCAACAATCACTCTTGCCATCTTCTCTTTGACCACTTCCAATTTTCCTTGATTCATGAACCTACCAATCCAGGTTCCTATGCGACATTGCTCTTTACAGCATCGGACTTCGCTTCTATCACCAGTCACATCCACAACTGGGTGTTATTTTCGCTTTGGCTCCATTTCTTCATTCTTTCTGGAGTTATTTCTCCACTGATCTCCAGTAGCATATTGGGCACCTACCGACCTGGGGAGTTCATCTTTCAGTGTCCTATCTTTTTGCCTTTTCATCCTGTTCATAGGGTTCTCAAGGCAAGAATACTGAAGTGGTTTGCCATTCCCTTCTCCAGTGGACCACATTTTGTCACAACTCTCCACCATGACCTGTCCGTCTTGGGTGGCCCTTCATCACATGGCTCATAGTTTCATTGAGTTAGACAAGGCTGTGGTCCATGTGATCAGATTGGTTAGTTTTCTGTGACTGTGGTTTTCATTCTGTCTTGCCTCTGATGGAGAAGGGTAAGAGGCTTATGGAAGCTTCTTGATAGGAGAGATTGAGTGTGAGGGAAACTGGGCCTTGTTGTGATGTGCAGGCACTGAGTGTAGCAGTACATGAATGGAAGGGACCTTTTGAAGGAGGTCACCATTATCTTCATTACCTCCATCATAGTTTGGCCTCAGGTAAATAACAGGGAGGGAACACAGCTCCACCCATCAACCGAAAATTGGATTAAAGATTTACTGAGCATAACCCCACCCATCAGAACAAAAGGTTCCTCCATCCATGAGATTTTCCAGGGAAGAATACTGGATTGGGTTGCCATTTCCTTCTCCAGGGCATCTTCCCAACCCAGGGTCTGAACCCAGGTCTCCCACATTGCAGGCAGACTCTTTACCATCTGAACCACCAGGGAATCCAAGAGCTTTGAGGATATACTGACTGGTCTTAGTAACCAGGATAAAGTATTCTAATACCCCAAACTTTCTTTGAAAGTTTGCAAATATTTCCTCTGAAATCCTGCTAATGTGAACATTATGTGTTATTCACATAATATGCAAAACTGCACATTCCACTAGAGTCCTATGGAAACATATAAAAATTATTTTTATAGTCATTATATAAAAATCAGTAAGAGCCCATTCCAATAATTGTAACATTCAAAATTCTGTCAATTTTTATCTAAGATCTGTCCTTCAGAAACTGATTGAGGTCTTTAAGGATGACTTTATAACATGATGGTTATTTAAGAGATCAAACAGCACTACAGCAGATATATCTGTATTACAAATACTGATATCCTAGTCAAACAGCTACTTACTGCAAGTCAGATGGATCCAACAACACTTCTGCACAAATGGAGTCAAGTCCTGCAGTTTGTGAAAACACACTTTTATCTGAAAGTTCTTGTATCCAACACTGCAGTGCCTTAAAATCAGTTTTTCCATCTGGTTGAGAAACTGGCATGTCCTACTTGTTTTCTCAATTCTAACCAATCAGCTTTTCAAGAATACACACTTGGGGTCTGAAGAGGAGCCTAGATCTACAGCGCACCAAGGCTGCCCCTCACACTCAGAGGTCCGGTGACCATGCCTGGAGCACTCGTCTTCTTTCCAGGGGCCATGAGAGCTAAGGGAGACCCCCTGCCCCTGAGCACACCAACACGAGCGGCAGCCCCCGAGTGGACGACTCCTTGGTGTTTACTGCCACAGGTACCAACGCACTGTCTGCCCTTTGCAATGTGGTGCTCCAGAATCAGCCTACAGACCATGTGTGGTGTGACCCTGAATCAGAGCTTTCTTTTTAGCTCAGTTGCCAACTTCAATGAGAATCCTCAAGGCACCATTAAGCAGGAAGAAATAAAAATAATGAAAAATTTACCTCTGCTGTATGGATGTTAAAAGAACAATCCTGGCCAAAACTGGATCAATGCCAGGTAACAGCCCAAGATCTAACAACCCTGCACATTGTGCACCATATAAGTCATAATTACCCACCAGGAACATGGCTTGGAGTATTCCATGAGCACCGAATGTTATTCAACCCACTCGTGAATCAGGATGAACTGGATCACCTGAACTAGAACCCCTGCCTGGCTTCTGTTCCAGCTCCAGTTTACACACTTCTCTGTCACCAAGGACTCCCATTTTCTGGCACACACCAAGCTCAGTTAACAACGCTGGAGTCCCGTGTGTCAGGGAACCAAAATGTACATAAACACCCTATAATGATACACTTCTTAATTATGACAATCTATCGTTTCCATATTGTTATCAGCATTTTTCTTTTAAATCCTATCATGAGGAGACCCAAAATGAAGAAAACAAAATGCAAATCACCTATTACTAGCTTTCTTAAGAATATACATCAGGATAAAAGATCTGCTTGATCAGACTGCTAAGGGCATCAAAAGGTGGGGTCCACAGTGTGGAGTTCAAGATTAGAGAAACTAAGCACACTTGTGGAAAATAAGCATAGTTTCACCTCTGTCTTCACTTCTGTAAATGGAAGTCAACATTAATAAAAAAGCTATTAAATCCTAATAGAGGACAACAGAAAACCTGATTCACCAGTTTTCTCCTTGCCTTTTTTTTGTCTCAATCCAACAAAAGTTGATTGCGTGCTGCTTCATTTATTAACCAAGACTGATTTCTTGGCACTGGCTATATATACTTTCCAACTTAATAGCAGGTTGCTTAAAGGGAAGAAATTATTTCCTGCAAATTTCTGGAACCTCAACTATTTCAGTTTAGATCTTAACTTCAAATAGAAGAGAAAAGTTTAAAAACACTTTGGGAACATTTTCTCCCAGTCTCTAGCCTGCTCCCATTCTCTTGACAGTGCCTTTGGCAGAGCAGAGACAATTGCTTTTAATAAAGTCAGTCTGTCAATTATTTCTTTCATGATCAAGCCTTTGGAGGTGTGTCAAAAAGTCATCACCAAACCCAAGACTACCTAGATTTTCTCCCAAGTTATCATCTAGGAGTTTCATAGTTTTATGTTTCACATTTAGGTATATGATGTATTTTGATCTATTTTTGAGAAGGCCACAAAGCCTCTGTGTAGATTCATTTTCTTGCAGGGGGCTTGGGTGGATGTCCAGTTGCTCCAACACCATCTGTTGAAAAGGCCACTGTATGGCTGTACTGCTTCTGCATGTCTGTCAAAGATCAAAGGACTGTACTTACATGAGTCTGTTTCTGGGCTCTCTACAACACCAAGAGTGAGCTCTGATGTAAATTACAGACTCTGGGATGATAATATGTCAAGGGAGGTTCCTAGTTTGTAAAAAACATATGCTCTGGTGGGAGATGCTTATAATGGGGAAGCTGTGCATGTGGGGGTGGGGTGGAACAGAAAATCTCTGCACTCTCCCTTCAATCTTGCTGTGAAGCTAACAGTGCTCTGAAAAAGAAAACCTAAATTAAAAAATTGAAATAAAAAATGGTTGACCAGGAAAAGTGAGAAAAAATATATTCTGGTAACTAATATAAAGGTATACATTTATAATTCAATGATTTTAGATTATTAACTTGATAAAGCATACAAAGAATTGATAACTTTCACAATTTGGGCACCCTGAGCAAGGCAGTTGTACAACTCAGGATAACACATGTCACCCTGTGGTGTCACACTGGTTAGCCTCCTGAATGGGCAGGGTAGGTTCTGTGCCATATACCTCAGTTACTTCAAGGAAAGGAGTTTTCTTTAAAAAAAAAAAAAAAAAAAAGGTTTTACTTAGGTATAATTTGCACATCATATATCCAACCATTTGAAGCACAGAATTAAAAGAACTTTGACAAATTCGCAGAGTCATACAATGCTCACCACAACGCAGTCTAGAATACTTCCATCACCCTGATACAAAACTGGCAAAACACAATCCATGTGAAGCTGGCTGTTGGGCCCTGATGTTTGTTACAGCATTTCTATACACTTAAAACACTTGCATATGTTTGAAAACGTTAATAAAAAGTAGTACACTACATTAGAAAATAAAATCTGAAAGACTATATGCCAAAATGCTAATAGTGTATTTACTGGAATCACCCTGATAGCTCAGTTGGTAAAGAATCTGCCTGCAATGCAGGAGAACCTGGTCTGAGTCCTGGGTTGGGAAGATCCGTTAGAGGAGGGTTAGGCCACCCACTCCAATATTCTTGGGCTTCCTTTGTGGCTCAGCTGGTAAAGAATCTCCCTGCAATGCAAGAGAACTGGGTTGGGAAGATCCCCTGGAGAAGGGAAAGGCTACCCACTCCTGGATTCTGGCCTGGAGAATTCCATGGACTGTATAGTCCATGGGGTTGCAAACAGTCGGACACGACTGAGCGACTTTCACTTTCTTTCACTTTCACTAGGTTGTATACTTATGGAAAGCTTACTATTTTGTATTTTCTAAAGTTTCTATGATGAACATATATGTACAATTAGAGAAAAATGCCAATAAACATTCATTCTTTCTATACATACCCCTGATACCCGCCACGAGGGGAGAGGAGCCTGCTCCCAGCCTCCCCCAACTAGAGTCAGGGAGAAGCCGAGGAGGAAAGAGCCTGGATGCCCCTGGTCACAGTTCCAGGCCTGGGACATCTGCAAAGATCTGGAGCTACAAGAAGCAAGCCCAAGGTCTGGGAGTTGCTTGGAAAATGGGCTCCCAACAGACAGCTTCTCAGAGCAGCCCCAGATGTTGTCTCTGTTAGTTTCAGCAAATTTTATGGAGACTAACCTTCCAGATGCTGGAGAGTGGGGCTACCTGGCTACCAGCATGCAGAGCCAGGCTGAGAGGGAGCCACATCCTGCAGGTAGCCCCCTCCCATGAGCAGGTCTGAGCTCACAGGTGATCTGAAAAAGCATGCATGATTATTTACTTATATCACAGAGATACAGAGAAAACTCACCTACAGAGGCACCACAGGACAAACCCAAGTCCACAGTAAGGGTCCAAGCAGATGGCCACTTCTCTCGAGGGGTAGAGCTCACACTGCAGCTTAATAGAACGGCAGAAGGCACTGGTAGCTGCATGAGACATCTGCAAGACAGCAAGGCCGTGTCAGGTACTGGAGCTGGAGCCCAGCCTCAGGACTCCTGCACCACCACAGGCTGCACAGAACGCACTGGACCAGACACCAATGCCAAGGGTGGTTTCAGATAGGACAACTGTAGCCAAGCTCTGGTTCCGTTAGGAGAGGGTAGGCTGTGGGTTCTCATTAGTCTTCCCGTTTTCAATGAGTAAGCCACAAGCAAAACTTCTTGGTCCCTTAGGACTTAGTAACTCCAGCCCAGGAGGCTGGGACATCTTGCATTTGAATGGTAGCTTCCACTGCAACCCCACCACAGCCTGTACAGTACATGGGGACATGTGACCACTCACGTGCCCTCTCCAGGCAGAGACAACACCCGACTCGTGCTTCACCTCCAGACCCAGCCCTGCACCTGTCATGCAGCAGAGTACACTGGAGGCACGACTCCTGTTGGCAAAGACTGGCTGAAGGTCACACCCGTTTGTGCAGTGAGATAAGCTCGTCATTTCATGGGAATTCAAGTCCAATCTCAGCATAGCTACAGTTAAGAGTTTCTCTAAAGGCAGTAGCCAGTCCCACAACAGTCAGTATGGAATGTGAATTCTTTTAAAGTACAGAAAAATTATATCTAATAACATCAATTTTCACAGATGCTTTCTAGCCAAACTAATCTAAGAGGAACAGGAAAGTAAAAGCAGCCCAGAAAACTTTACCAAGTTCATGGTCTTAGACATATCTCAAGTTAGTGTGGAGTGCTCATCACCCAGAGCTGAACTGTAAAAGGGACTAGCTCAGAGCATCCGGGCAGAATTTGACAGGGATCCTACAAGCTAGGACAGAAGGGCCTCACTCCTGGTGTGTCTCATCTCTTTCCCCAGGGTGGCTAATAAAAGCTCTCTGTCGTCTGATTGGATTTCCCTGAATGTTATGATGCTTCTTGAAAAAGAACAACAAAGTCAGAGGACTCACCCTTTCTGATTTAAAAACTTAGTAGAAAGTTACTGTAATCAAAACAGTGTGGTAGTGGCATAAAGACAGACACATAGAAAAACAGAATAGGATAGCCCAGAAATAAAACCTCACATACCAAAAAAAAAAAAAAAAAAAAAACCACCTCACATACATGGTGAAATGATTTTTAAAATTTTTTTCATTAATTTATTTTTCCCTAGACTTCACATGCGACTGATTGACTGATTGAGTGAGGTATAACTGATCTACATCATTATGTTAGTTTCATGTATACAGCACAACATATATATATGTATGTATTGCAAAATGATCACCACAATAAGTCTAATGAAAAGAGCACTAAAATTTACTCTCTTACCAACTTCCAAGTACGCAACACAGTACACTATTAACTATAGTTCCCATGCTGTACAATACATCCACAGCCCTTATTTATAACTGGAAGCCTGTACCTTCTGGCTCCCTTCACCTGTTTTTGCCCATCACCAATCTGTTTTCTCTATCTATAAGCTTGGTTTTTTTAAAAAAAATAGTTCACATATAAGTGAGATCACATAGCATTTGTCTTTCTGACTTAGCACGATGTCCTTCAGGTTCACCCATGTTGTCACAAATGGCAGAATTTCCTTCTTTCTAATGGCTGAATTATACTGCACTGTGTGCTTATAGATGGTATGGGTGAGTGGGCAGGCATGTCTCATTTTTCTTATCCATTCATCTGCCAATGGACACTGATATTGTTTCCATATCTTGGCTACTGTAAAATAATGCTCTATGAACACTGGGGTACAGACATCTTTCTGAGTTAGTGTTTTTATTTTCTTCAGATCAATACCCAGAAGTGGAATTTTTGGATAATATGGTAGTTTTATTTTTAACTCTTTGAGGAACCTCTATACTGTTTTTCATAGTGGCTACACCAGTTTACATTTCCACCAACAGTGCACAAGGGTTTCTCTTTCTCCACACCCTCATCAACACGCTATCTCCTGTCTTTTTTATGATGGCCATCCTGGCAAGTGTGAAGTGATAGCTCACTTTTCTTGTACCTGTTGTCTATCTGTATGTTTTTTTCAGAAAAATGTCTATTTACATCCCCTGCCCATTTTTAAGCAATCGTTTTTCTGCTCTTAAGTTGTACGAGTTCTTTACATATTTTGGATATTAACCCATTATCAATATGTGGTTTGCAAATACTTCCTCCTGTTCACTAGGTTGCCTTTTCATTGGTTGGTTTCCTTTGCTGTGCAAAAGCTTTTGGTTTGATGTAGTTCCACGTGCTTAACTTTTATTTCCTTTGCTATTGATGTCAAACTAAAAAAATCTCCAAGACCAATGTCTAGGAGCTGACCCCTATGTTTTCTCCTAGGAGAGTTATGGTTTCAGATCTTATATTCAAGTCTTTAATTCACTTTGAGTTCATTTTTATGTATGGCGTAGAAAATTGGTCCAGTTTCATTCTTTAGCGCGTGGCTGTCCAATCCTCCAAGCACATTTACTTAAAGCCTGTCCTTTCCCATAGCATATTCTGGGCTACTTTGCCATAAACGAGTTAACATTATGTGTGAGTTTATTTCTGGGCTATTCTGTGTCACTGGTCTTTGTGTCTGTTTTTGTACCAGCATCATACTGTTGGCAATACTATAGCCTCGTAATGTCAGTGAGCATGATGCCTCCAGCTCTGATCTTTTTCAAGATGGCTTTGGCTATTTGGGTCTTTTGTGGTTTCATACAAATTTTAGAATAGTTTGTTCTATTTCTGTGAAAAATGCCATTGGAATTTTGATAGGGACTGCAATGAACCTGTAGATTACTTTGGGTAGTATGGACATTATAACAATATTAATTATTCCAATCCAAAAGTATGGAATATCTTTCATTTGTCCTTTTCAACTTATTCCATCAATATTTTACAGTTTTCAGTATATAGATCTTTTACTTCCTTGGTTAAATTTATTCCTCGGTATTCTTTTTGATGCAGTTGTAAATAAGACTGTTTCCTTATTTTCTCTTTCTGCTATTTCATTATTAGTGTACAGAAACACAACAGATTTCTCTGTACTGATTTTGTTATCTTGCAACTTTACTGAATTATTTATTGTAACAGTTCTTGGTGGAGTTTTTAGTGTTTTCTATACAAAGCATCATGTCATCTGCAAATAGTGACAATTTTAATTCTTCCTTTCCCAACTTAGATGTCTTTTATTTCTTTTTTCTTGCCTAATTTCTCTGCTTAGGACTTCCAACACTATACTGAATAAAAGTGGCTTCCTGATCTTAGAGGAAATCTTGCTTTTTCTCTGGAAATGTTTCAACTTTTCACTCTCGAGTATGATCCTAAGTGTGGGTGATCAAACGTATTTTTGATAAGAATGTCAAGACCATTCAATGGGGAAAGAACGGATTTGGAAATGCTTTCTTGGCATCAAAGGCACTGGTTAAAAAAAAAAAAGAAACAGGCAAAATTAGACTTCACGGAAACTAAAAAATTTTCTGCATCAAAAGGCACTATCCATAGAATAAAAGGGCAACTCAAAGAATGGGACAGAATATCTGCAGACCATGTAACTGATAACAGTATCAGAGAACTTCTAAAACTCAACACCAATAAGAAAACTATCAATTCAAAATCAGCAAAGGAGGTGAATAAACATTTCTCCAAAGAATACATACCAAAAGGTGCTCAATATCATTAATCCTCAGAAAAATGCAAATCAAAATTACAGTGTGGTCTACCTCACATACATTAGAAACGCTACTTAAACAAACAAAAAAAAGGAAATGCCCAGGGAGTTCCCTTGTAACCTAATCAATAGGACTCCAGACTTTCACTGCCATGGCCCACGTTCAATCGCTGGTCAGGGAACCAAGATCCTGCAAGCCATGAGGCTCAGCCACAGAAAAAGAAGATATTCAAAAGAAAAACCAACAGAAAATAAATTCCAAGCATTGGCAAGAATGTAGAGAAACTGAAAACCTTGTGCATCATTAGTGAGAAGGTAAAATGGGACAGCTACTGTAGAAAAGAGTATGGAATTCCCCCCAAAATAAAAATAAAATTACCCTTTGACCCAACAATTCAACTTCTGGATATATATTTAAAAGAGTTAAAGGCCATGTTTCGAAGAGATATTTATATACCCCATGCTCACTGCAGCATGATTCACAATAGCTAAAATGTGAAAGCAACTCAAGTATCCATTGAAAAATGAATGGATAAGCAAAATGTGGTAAACACATACAGTGAAATATTAACTCAACCTTAAAAAGGAATTTTGATATATACTTTAACATGGATGAACCTTGAAGAAACTATGCTAAGTGAAATAAGTCAGACACAAGAAGACATATACTGTATGATTCCATGTAAACATGGTACTAGAACAGTCAAAATCACAGAGACAGAAAGCAGGGTGGGAAGTGCTGGGAGGTAGGGGCAAGTCTCAGTTTAGAAGATGAGTTATGAAGGTGAGTGCTGGTGACAGAAGCACAGAACTGTGAATGAATTTAATACCACTGAACCATACACTTGAATTGGTTAAGTGGTAAGTTTATGTTACATGTATTTTACTACAATTACAAAATTGGAAAAAAAATTCAAGTAAGAGAACTGAAAATTATGCAAGCTCAGCAATCAGGCAAATAATAGGTGCAGGGCTTCCTGAGGCTAGAGAACTCAACAGTATCTTGATGAGGACCCTGCCTAACCTAGGGGAGTCCTAACTCAGGTGACACACGTACTAGTTCCTTTTTTTGATGGGAAAAAGCAACAGCAACAAGTAGCGTTCTGGCCTGTTACAATGAGACCCCTGTTAAAAACGCAAGGAACTCCTGTGCACAGAGTTTTATAATAGAATACTGAGATCTGAGAACCAGCAAGAAAGGGAAACATAGGCAGTTCTATTGAACTGAACTGAACTGAGTGAAGCTGTGGTTATACACAAAAAAATTGTTTGAACATTGGGAAATAATCAGTCAGCCTAGATAACTACTAAAATGGTCACGCATTTTATAGCTTGACCAGAACACACATATATGCATATACCTCTCTCTGTGTTTCGATGCCAAGCCCCACCAGAGCCCTATACATATAAGAACGAAAATTAAGCATCGCCGTATGGCCTGCTAACTGCACACTACTCAGATTGTTTCTTACCTTCACTCCAGCTAGCATCCCGGTTGTGGACACACTGAAATCAAGATAGGCTAGCGTGTCTGGGTTGGAAGGTTTGTAGATCTGGGCAGGCCGCTTCTTTGGCAAATCATCTGGAGAGGAAAACAAGCTGTTAGCATCTCTGACTTAGTGGAAAAGTAGATGAGCAAACAGACATTTTTGGTAAGTTCGAGAACCAACCTGTGTCTAGTATAGGGGGCCAGGCCCTGACATCCACTGCCGCAGCTGCCTCCCTGGACCGTAACAATTTACAGATCAGTTGTGTTGTCATCAGACAGGCAGAACGGCTCACCTGAGGGTCAGAGAACAAGGCACGGAGAGGAGGAGGGTAAAGGACAGGGGACCATGCCTACTCGCGTGCCAGCTGTGCACCACATGGAAGCCGTGTAGCTCTAGGGTAGGCTGCGTGCACAGCCACCTGATTCAGGGCCATGTTAGCCAACGGAGGTCCATGTGACCGGGAATCTGACCACAGACCACACGAGCAGAGCTCGTGCAAACTGAGGCCCTGGCAGTTAGTAGAGCTGAGTGGTGTCAACCGTGTGGCCGTCACCTCAGAAAGCACTACCCAAACTACCCACTCTCACTACACACTCCCCATTCTCCAGAAATGCTCACTCTCCACACACAACCTCAGCACTTACTGCCACAGTGACAACCCTGAAGGTTCTCTGACACAACTACAAACAAGTATTCATTTGTGATGCCCCTTGGGGTTCCTCCTCTAAGGGGAAAAACTTATCTTAATCCTCTTAAACTTCACCAGGCAAAAACAAAAACAAAAAAGTTAAAACAAACTGTACTTTCAAAAAGGAATAGGCTGCTTTTCAGTCTTGAGGAAAGAAACTTTAAAACTTCTGATTTTCCCACTCCTCCTGGTTTGTTGCTTGGGCTGGTGGGGAATCGACAAGTGTCTGGAGGGTTGCCCTCTCTAGGGAGTGGATTTGACTCCCACGCATTGTGGCAAAACTGCTCTCTAGCCCCTAACTCCACGCACAAGTTGCTATCTTGATTCCAGAGCAAAACGGCAAGCTCCTAGAACAAAGAGGCTGGGCCCCCTCCGCTGCTGGGACTGCAGACGCCCACACCAGCCCTGGGGCCCAGGCTCTGTAGTCTACAAGCCCAGCACTCAGGCCAGACCCCGCAGCCAGCATTACCTCCACGATCATCTTCACGGTGGGCAGCGTGGTGGCGATGTTCTGTGGGTGTGGGGGACGGACAGTGATGGGCACACAGCCTGCATACAAGCAGCCATAGAACGCAGCGATGAGGTCTATCCCTGCAGAGAGAGAGGAGCAGTCTCCAGTGAGACGCAGCAGCAGGGCGACCAACCTGGAGCAGCCAGGCAGGCAGGGGGCCACCCCCGCGCGTCTGTCAGACTTCAGGGACAGCCCCCAGCAGCCCTGTTCTCTCAGGCACAGGAAGCCAATGTAGCCCAGAGGTTTCACTGCTGTCATCCCTCTAAGGAGTCTTTATACTCAACTTCCTGATTATCCACTCAGTGGTCAAGTATTTAACTACTGATTAAATGAACTGCCTCAGATAGCTAATAAAATAAAGTTCGATACAAAAGTCTTTGTGAAATACCAATTTGTCTGTACCCCATCATCAGTCATACAGCACGCAGCACACAGTCCACCCTGTGAGCCAAGCCGGGGTCGGGGCCCATTTTGGTGGTTAACACAGTGAGGCCATTGAGCACTGATGGGTGTGATGCAGGGTCCCTCAGGCAGGGGTTGGTCTGCACCATGCCGTTTCTTACCTGGTGGGTAGACCAGGGCGACGTGGTCCCCGTCCTGCAGGTGTCCCCTCTCCATCAGCATCACGGCTATCTTCTCAGCCCGCTTGTGCAGCTGGACACAAGTCAGCGAGTTTGCTATTGTGCCCTGAGTATCACAAGAACAAATGGGTATGATGTTTCTTTAATATCCCAGCTTTGAGATGCCGTTTGTATACCATACAACTCACTGATTTAAAATGGACAGTTAAGTGGATGTATCTGCAGAGTTGTATCACCCCCACCACAGCCAGCTTCAGAACATTTTCATTACCCCCTCAAAAGACCACCCACCACTGGCATTCTGCTCTCCTCTCCTCCCCAATAGCTAGGAAGTACAACACCAAAGATGACTCCAGATACATCTGCATTAACAAGAAACATTTAAAAAATAATTACTGGACATGAAAAAATAGCTCAAAGTATAAAACAAAATCAATCTAGTAATTTTTGGACTTATGTGTAATTGTCATGGGCAATAATAAGAAATTAGTCATAAATCTGGAGGATCTGAACTATGAAAAATAGGACTAATTGAAACGGTTTTTTAAAAAGACCACATCGAAAGTCAAGGAGGTCAGAAAACAAACCAACTCCCAGAAAAGCAACCATCCAAAAAAAAAAAAACAAAAGGAAAAATGGGAATTGTCAAATTCATTTAATGTAGACTTTCAAATACGCAGGAACAAATAAACACATTTGGATTGAAAAGTACCTTAAAAAACACTGAGGACAAAAATCAGTAGCAAAACAGGTACTAAGAGATATCAAAATACATGACATTTACTCCTTATTTATAAAAGCAAGAATAAACTACAAATTATAAACATACAACTTATCCAAAAAAGTTTCCCTTGAGAATGTACTTTTTATTTGCACATATTCCCAGGTAAGAAGAGATTATTGTCTACAGCTACTTAAAAACTGCTTTATCATCAATTCCGACTTTAAAGGGATGAACAGGGGAAGGACCTCTCCTTATACAAAGTGCAAACTTGACAGGAGTGTTGGATGAGGAAGACTCTGCAGCTGGACACAGGATGGTGGGCACCAGGGCCTGATGCATTTATTGAGGTGGGGAGCTTCCAAGGGGAGTGACATGAAGACGACTGTCCACAGGGAGGTGGTGTGAGCAGTTGGTTTTGTGGGAGGAGAAACGTGGACAGGAGAGACTGAATCTTTGGGGCCGTTAAAGGATACGGGTGACCTGGTGACTTGAAGTGTGTGAAGAGACACTAGAAATGCCACCCAAGTGGAACATCCCACACGGGGTGTGTGGGATCCAGTGGGATGTGAACCCTAAAAGGATATATACACCAGCCGCTGGCATTTGCCCAAAACACTCGTGAAATCATTGATGGCCTGGGGCGCATAGATCACCAGGCCCTGGGGCACAGAGGCCAGTGGAGGAGGGGGGGCCACCCAGGCAGCTGCCAGGCAGGCTCAGGACCCTTCCTGCTGAGACCAGCCTCCCCACAGTGGGGCTATGCTTACAATTCTCTGAATTGAACTTTCTCATCCCACATATTTTCCTTCATCATCTTCCTTGTGAGGAAGGTTAAAAAATAAACAGAAAAAGACACAGAAAGTGGAAGAGCCAGAGAGCAGAATGTGGCAAAGCCGGGTAAACACAGAAAGACCTACGAGGCTGGTGTCTGGGATCCAGCTGAAATCTGAGAACTGGTGCCTTCGCAGCTGGACCAGTCCTCTGAGCAATCACTCCTGTGCAACACATGTGTGCGCATGAACCAAAACATATCCCTTCACCCAACAGTCCTGCGAGCTCTTCTAAGTGAAGATGGGGCACTAGCCCCTAGCATACCAAGGTGAGGCCAACACCACCGCCCCCCACCCCGAGCCCCCAGGCTTGCATGCCAGCTGTCCTGGAGGAACACCAGCACTGCACTCCTGGCCGCGGCCAGGGACCAGTCGAGTTGCTGGTGGGGCGGCAGTACCAACCGGGGACTCCCGCCACCACCCTGCTGCCCACGCTGGTCCATTAGTGAGTCTTATCTTAAGAAGCGAGCATTCTGGGATTGAGCTGTTAAACTCTTTCAGCTGCTCTTCTTTGAGTTATCCAGAGAGCCAGCGCTGATCCTCTATCAGTATCAGCTTTCCTGTCACATGACAAAGCCTGTAAGATGCAAGAAGCACTGATGACTCACGAGTAGCTGAATGTTCTGACTCTCGTTCCGAGAACATCCATCTCCAGATGCTTCAAAATGGTGAGATCTACCTGCATTCTGTCTTTCAGCAATCTCTGCCACTGCTTCAAAATACCCTTTCCCACCCACAGGGTTTACACCAGACCCAGGGCCCCTCATGGCAGTCTGGTGCCAATACACCCAGCACAGCCTCCCCTCCCAAGTCTCTGCCTACAGGCTCAACATTGAGAGAGTGTTACAGGACACAGGCTTTGGCCACCCCCACACCATGCAACACCACTTGTCATGGGGCCCTTCACCTCAGGAGAAACGCTAATTTTCAGCCACACATTTCATTTTCCAAAGTGCTCACTGTGACAAAAAACAAAATGCTGTTTATATTCAGGTCAGTGGTTAGCTGGCATCCTCATCATTCATGGAAAAAGTTGGGTTTTCAGTATAGAAACCCACTGCATAAGAAGGTTCTATGTAAAGTACATCAGAGAAAAAGGACATAACAGAAAATTAGGGCTGACGTTCCCTGAAAGAGGTCTTGGCTGATATCATGACAAAACAGCAATGCAGGGTGATCCACCACCCAGTTGCTATGCTGAAGACAATGATTTCAGTGTAGGTGACTGTAAACATGGCACCACTGCAAAGTTTTACATTAAATTAAATAATGACAAGTAAAAACATACTCAGGAATGAAGAAAAAGCCAAAAATGATTTACATTTTAAAATGCAAAAAAAGTTAAAAGCCTTGGCTGGTGTTTCTCTTAAAAAAGTAACAGATGCTCTTTGTATATAAATTCCAAGAACATAAGTCCTTCCCGATTTGCAGTGAATTCAATCCTCACTCCTGCCTACAAGCCTAGCACAACAGCTCCGACACTATGGACTACGATGCCGTGGAGGAGGGCATACAAATGAGTGCTGTGGGCAGTAAACAGGTGGCACAACCCAGCTGGGACTTGCAACAACTGAGGGGCTGTCCAGAATGGAGGAAGCCTGGAAGCAGCCTGTGGCCCCACACTGGAAGGACAATGTTTGGGGATATTGAATAAAACATATTATTAGAATGAATTTCAGCTGTTTATTCTCACCTTTTCAAAATTTTGTTTTCAGAAAATATTAAAACTGTGTGTGTGGCTTGTGCTGATTTCTATTGGATGGTGCTGAGCTAGAAGGTTTAGTGAGTGGAAATTCCACTGTGACGGCCATGGAAAGGATGCTCCTGACCTGCAGCTCAGATTGAACACCTGTGCTGAGTGCACACAGGGCTGAGGGAGGACAGGGATGAGCGCAGACACCAACTCCCTACTGACCCATCCAGCTCTGTGGATGCAGCTGTCGCCACATCAGAAGGCCTGGGAAACAGAAGGAAGGAAGGCTTCCTGTCTGAAGGAAGGCTACTACTGTGGGCCATGCTGTCTCCACGCTGACCTGAAGTAAGCTTACACACGGCTTTGACCTCCACAACTCACCTCTTCGAGAATATGACTCATTTCTGGTGAACACATTTCCCCAGCGACCTCGTGTCTGGCCATAGCAAAGGACTGTGAACTCAGGATCTGGGAATGGGGACACAATTGACCCATCCAGCACACTTGCCAGCCCCCAAGCGGCAGGTGGCTGGACCAGCTGTTTCCTCCTGCTGACAGGACTACCGTCTACCAATACAACCAAATCATTTCTGAATCTTTGTGTCTGTGACAGCAATGAACCTTCATCTGACCCAGAGCTCTGGAGGGGTCACCCTCAGGGAGCTCAGGGAAGGGGCTCTGAAGAGGAGTCCCTCCTGAAGCTGAGGCCAGGCTGGATAAGGCTCCAGCTCCAGTGGCCCCCTCTGGAGGTGCTGCTGGGAACCACCAGACACCACAAGAGATGCTGCAGAAAAACGGGAGTCACCAACAGTCTCCAGGAGAAATGCCAGGGCAGAGGACAAAGTCAGAAGCAATGATTACAGAGTAACTGGGACACAACAAGGCACCAGTGCCAGAAAAGAAGTCTTATCTGTGTTTATAGACTGAGGCAGAGCCAAGGGAAAAAGATGAAAGCAGCAGGCAGGCTGGCTTCAGATCAGACACAGGGCTCCCAGTAACCACATCACTGGACTCATGACCCATGTGCACCTGTGGGCCCTGAGCCAAGAGAGTTAATCCTGGGAAGGGGGTCCAAGCGTAGGCACCAAAAGGCAGGGATAGCAAGCATTTCTCACAGAAACTGGGGAGTGGGAATGCTTTCTAAGGCTCTTCCTGGGGTCGGTCTGAACAGACACAGTAAGCAAGAACTGCTGAGGTCAGGTCAGCATGCAGGGTCAAGATGAGCTGAGTCAGAGGAGGACCAGAAGTACTTCTACAAACTAAATCACTGAAAAACTGGTCTGCAGCTGGATGTCCAACTTAGAGATTTAGGGAGGGACTTACACTGTTGGCATTTCCTTTCACTTGTCCTTAACTGATTGCTCTAAGTGACAAGAAGCACCTTTGTGCACAAAGATTATGATATTTTGCATCTCTGAAGAGCTATAATGTCTTAAAGTTGCAAGCATCCACACTAATCAAGAAGACCTAGTTAAATCTAGTTTTCAGGCTTTATTTCCAGAGCAAACAATAACAGGTATATTTTAAGACTTCTGCATTTACTGCTCATTGTTAGTACTATTTGCTTGTGCAGTTAAGGCCTTACTTTTAAGTACTATAATGGAGCACAATCTGATGATTTACTTTTCTAATGAGAAATGTAAATATGAATCTTAATTAAAAAGATTATTTTCACTCCTAAGAATGAAAGCCTATAACTAAAATATGACTTCTTAACAAAAAAAAAAAAGTAGTTAAATAACAAAAAGAAACATAAATACCTCACAGATCCACAACTGTTCTCTATTGTAGACATTCTCCACTCATTTAGGAGAAGATACTGCAAAAATATTGCTAAAATACATACATACACAAATAATGTGTATATATACAACTGATGGCTCAGCAGGTAAACAATCTGCCTGCAATGCAGAAGACAAAGGAGACGTGGGTTCCATCCCTGGGTTGGGAAGATCCCCTGGAGGAGGAAATGGCAACTCACTCCAGTATTCTTGCCTGAACAATCCCATGGAGAGAGGAACCTGGTGGGCTGTAGTTCAAAGGGTTGCAGAGAGTCAGACACAACTGAGCGACTAAGCACATGTACACACACACTCAAACCCTTATATTAAAAAGTGACCTTTCTTAGGTGAAAGATCTCAATCAAAATAGCAACAAACAAACAGAAGGATTTAGGTAAGCCTCAGGAGAAAGGTTTGAGTGGAGAGTATGAAACAACAGCATAAAATCATGGAGCACACAGGCAACACCAGGGTACATGGGTGGGGCCTCACCCTACAGTTGAGCAGCGTGTACAGCACGTGGTCAGGGGTGGTCTGTGCCCTCCACTGCAGGACTTCCGAGAGGAACAGGAACTGGAACAGAGCACAGCTGTTAGGTCCAGACCATCCTGGGCATTTGGGCTGGCTCAACTTCTAACAGTAGGGTCTGCTGGGGTGCTCTGAGGGTGCCTTAAGACAGGAGAGAATAATCTCTGGCAAATATAATTGACAGGATAAGCAGGCGCTTACAATGCTTTCCTGGCAGTGACTGGAATTCACTGTGTCTGATTCAGATCCAGAAGTTGGAGGGCTGGGGCCGTGCCATCATGAGGGAAGTCCTCTGAAATCTGCCCAAGGATGGGAAGATGCCACTGCCCTTATAGACAGAGTAGTCGACACAGATCTACCCTGTTTCAAAAATGGGCTCTTTTAAATTTTCTGTGTTTACAGTGGTCACCTCTGAAGGCATTCAACAGCCCTGAGATCACACAGATCACATGCACCCACTAACATGTCTACAGTAACAAGGACGGTCCTGTTTCATGTCACCGACACAGCAATCATCACAGGTTCATCTTAATCCATTTTATGATAGAAATGCAGTGTGAGGTGTAGAACATGGTCATCAAGCACTTTTTATGAACATGTTACTACATGTTACCAAACTGGCAACATCTTAAATGGCTGATTTTGTCATATTTCCTTGGAGCCCACACAGAGTGGGTCCACCTTTTGGTGAATCACCAGAGTTCTTCAGCTGAATGCTATAATGGGGACTTGCAGCTGCGTGGGACAAACTGTGTGTCTGATGCTTATGTGGAGAAGGGCCCAAATATTCCTCCTACAACTCCCAACGCTGCTTTAAGAATGTCTGGCTTTTAAACCTGGGTTTTGAATTGACACTTCCTTGAATTGCAATGATCCAAGGACTGAAACCTCACCATAAGGTGGACAGGAAGCAGTGTGAGTGTCCAGTCAGAGCTGGTGGAGAACCAGAACAAGTGTGCAGGGAACACCAGGACAGGATAGGGACTGCAGACGCTGGCTTCAGGCCTGCTGGTCATGGGCTGCGTCACCCATCCATTTCTGTGCCATGTGAGGGGTCTTAAACACTGCACCCCAGCAAATACGATTTCCTTATGAGATTACAGAAGGGTCTTGCAGGGAGGCAGGAAGAAATGCCATCAATGCTAACACTGGGCTGGCAGAGAGGGCAAGTAGGAGTCAGTGACACCTGTGACACAGCATCTGGGCAGGAGTGGAGAGGAGCCAGACAAACTCTCACCTTCCGGGCCTGGTCATTGTCTTCTATCTGGCCCAAGTCTCTGCCGCTGGCCTGTGCGATCCTCTTCCCAGACACCAGGTTCCCCACCATCACAGAGGCAGGGCCGATCTCTGCAAAGCAGCAGCAGCACACACATGAGCTAGGATGCGAGTCAAGTTCCTGAAAACATAACTTCCCACTTTGGGAAGGAGCTGACTCTGATTTCCTTTCAAAGATGTGACTTTGAAAAGCCTGATTAGAACAGGGTTTCAAGTTAAGTCACTACCATGAAAACAAAGACAAACAGGAGCAAACCTCAAGTGAGGGGGCACAGAAATAAAGCTTTCAGCATCTCCCCTAAGCGTCCTCCCAGGCCACTGCCTTTGTTCTCTGGTGAAGGGCATTCAGTATTTGCTGGAAAAAACTAGCTTTTTGACAACAGAGTCATATAACCTTCATTATTTAACAAGAACAGACGAGACACCAGATACCATTAGAAAATCCTTCCTTAAAACTGCCAGTTACATGAAGCTGTCCTTTCTGAGTTGCCTCAGAGTGGTGTGGATGCCCTGGCACTACTCAGTGCCCTGAGAGGCAGGTGCCCAGCCAGTTCTCACAGCCCACTCGCTGGGTCACACTTCCCTGTCCAGAGTTCCCAGTCATCCGGCGACACCTGAGTACTGCAGCCCTGCGGTGGTCGTGGCATTTACCAGCGATCCTTCATCCTAAGCATCTGTCTTGAACTCTGGTCACCAACTGCGTCCCAATACCTGGGCCCACTGGGGGCCAGGACACCAGGTCGAGGTGTCCAGGAATGAACAGGGTTAGAGGAGGGAGAGGGAGGCTCAGTGAGTGAAGCCTCCCTGGGGAGCCCAGAAACTCTTGTCCATTCAGTACAAACATGCCAGGCTTTTTTTCCATCCTTTTCTCATGCTCATGAAGGGCTGTGCCCTGTGTCTGTCTTGGCTGGCCACCCGAAGCCAGTGCCCACAGGATGTGAAGAAGTGGGTGCTTCACTGGGAAATAATTCTACCCTCCACACCACAAACAGTCAAACAACAAAACAGAGGTAAGAGGAAAAAGAGAGAGAACATTAATAAGGAATCTGACAACATTAGAAAACTTCAGAGAAAGATTACTGGTAAATGCCAACCTACTGTGTCCGGAAAGCAGTGAGAGCTGAGGCCTTGTGAGCTCTTTCAGGGAGGATATAAGCTCTACCATGGGAGTCCCAGCCCGGCCCCACAGGCTACTCTGCTGGCAGAGCGTGGTGGTCAGCCAGTGGGTGACCCCATTCCTCCTGCAGCACCAGTGCCCTCACCTGAATCTGGAGAGACTGCTCACTCTCACTGCATCAAGCTTGCTTTGGGAGGTGGCCTGGTTCCTACGTCTACCACCATTGTGCTGTACCCAGGGCCCATCAACCATCTCTAGCCAACTTGTCGTGATCTCTGCCCCTGCTGCCATGCTTCATCACTGGAGCAAAGAGCATCAGGCCTGGGTCTGTCTCTCCAATACTCTGGCCCTACAGCCTTGGGTTAGTTCCTGAACCCTTTGTGGCATGATCTCATTTCCTTGTAAAATGGAGACAAGAACGCCCACTCCTTAAGGCTCCAAGAGGATGAGACAGGTTAATACCAATAATGTGTATAGGCATGGGCGGCTTGTACCAGGCCTGCTACTCGTCGTTCTAACACCCCTTGGGCTCACCTGGCCGCGCCCCTGGTCTGTTTGCATGTCAAGCCTGGAGGCTGGGGGCTTTCCATCACTATATTAACACCAAATTCTTGCAATAAATTCCTCTTCACTGGTAACTGGGTGCCACCTTAAAAAGCATAATCGTTGCTAGGAGGACCAAGTCAGATGATTTATAATTACATGATCCCTGATAGCTCAGTTGGTAAAGAATCCGCCTGCAGTGCAGTAGACCCCAGTTTGATTTCTGGGTCGGGAAGATCTGCTGGAGAAGGGAAAGGCTACCCACTCCAGTGTTCTTGGGCTTCCCTTATGGCTCAGCTGGTAAAGAATCCGCCTGCAATGCAGGAGACCTGGGTTTGATCCCTGAGTTGGGAAGATCCTTGGAGAAGGGAAAGGCTATCCACTCCAGTATTCTGGCCTGGAGAATTCCATGGACTGTATAGCCCATGGGGTCACAAAGAGTCAGACACAACTGGGCGACTTTCACTTTCACTAAACTGCAAATCAGCAGACAAATGTTCAGCATCATGACGACACCACAAATGAAGCTGCAGAACTCCTCACAGGCTCCAAGGGCTGTAAGCTATCAAAGAGGTCTGCAGGCTTTATTCTAACGTCTGTAGGAAGGAGTGGTGACCCTGAGAGGTGCTATGCCAGAGTCCTTAAGGAGGTCTGACACCTGCCAAGGAGGCTGGGCTCAGGTACTGCCAGCACCTCTCCTTCCCAGTGGCCCTTGCCCTGGGCCTGGACTCCACTACCTTCTTCCCACATGTGACAGCAAGACAGTGTTTAGGAGGAGGCTGACCTGTCAGAGTGTATGACCAGAGGCTGGAGAAGAGGAAGGCTGAGAACAGGGTTGGTGTGGCCCTCGCCCAGACCCAGGACCACCCCAGGCCCTCACAGCCCTTCAGACGTACCTGGTTGCTTCTGCCGAGGCTTAGGCAGGTTTGTAACGCATGTGTGGGGACACATGAGGACATTGCAAGGGTGAAGTGAGCCCTCCAGGAAGAGCTGCTTCGTTTCTGACAAATGGATGCCCCCGAGTGGGGTTTTGGGGAGGGTGTTTGCTGGAACCAAGGCCAGACAATAAACCCCAACTTGATGTATACTGTCAATTGCCTGGAAAGCCACAAGAGAAAGAACCATGTGAAGCAGGTATAGTGAACAGACAAAGAGCAAATACTCAGACTGTGCACAGCACAACACGCAGAAGCACATGCAGCACCCGCGAAGCTCCCATCATGGAGACACTGAGGTCAGGAAGGCAGGTCGCCAACCCAAGCAGAACACACAGGTCACGGAGCATACATGGAACACCACACACGTGAGAACGGACACTGGGAGGAAAAAAGTACGCTCTCAAAGTCATAACAAGAACTGCTGCTGCGACCTTCACGAGCGAATGGGAGCAGCTCTGCACACCTCTGACCCCTAGGCCAGGTCTATTTAGCTCCCCGCCCCCAGGAGGCAAGCCCAGGTTCTGCAGCTGATGAGTCTCTGGTCAGAAGGAGGGATAAGCAGAGTGCTCAACGGCACAGGGAAAATGATGTGAGCAGGGAAGGGGCTCGGGGCAGGCGCGAGCTACCTGCAGCACCCTGCTCATCCACTGGAAGCTGTCCTCTTCCGTGGAGTCTGGCCTCTGCTCAGCCACAATCACAATCCTTTCGTCGTGCAGGACAGTCACTGAAAACACGGCTATTCTGTGGATGCAGACAGGACACGGTGGTGAGCACGTGCTAGAGATGCTCACAGAAGGACTGGCCCTGCCATGAAGGGCTTCACAGCTACTATGACCGGAGAGCTCAGAGGTTTGCACCAACTAACCCCCCTGGGAAAGAAAAACTGCAGCTTCCAACTTCCAGGCGCTCACCCACAAAAGCACAGGGGGAGAAGTCTGACAAAGCCAGGGGGCAGGTGGAGGACGACTGCCACACTTCTTGTGGAAGCAGCCTGCTGCAGCTTGGGCAATGGGTCTCAAGCCAGGACAGACAGGAGTTGCGCAGGTATCAAACCTGCTGAAATTTACTGGGACCTGCAGTTTGCATCTTGAGTTTGTACCTGCGAAGCAATATTCTCCAAGTGAGCAGAACTTTGCCATTGGGGAGTTAATGGTTTTCTGCTAGCCTAGATTCTCTCAGGGGAAGCACAGACTAGCCCTCTGGGGGGTCCTCTGCACAAAGGTGGCTGGGCTACACCCAACCAGAAGCTCTGCGTCTTCCTGCTCCTGCCAGCTCAGCTACACAGGGCGAAACCCAGAGCAGCTGACTTCCTCCAAATCAGCAAAACCTCAGGAGCCATGGTCAGTGATCCAGCACTGGCTGTGTGCTAAGCAGGGGTTAGGAACACCACCCAGCAGGAACCCACAGGAGGCAGTTTATGGCTCATTTGTTACCTTTGGGTGAATGAACTGCAACAAGATAAATGCTTGGTTCTTTTCTTTGTGTAGTTTATTAATTAAAAATATGCTTTTCAAATGGATATGATTCTTTAACTTGGAGAACCTAGTGAAAATACATTTATCGGGCTCAGAAAATTTTCATAAAATTGGACATTAAGAACTGCACAGAATCGCAGAAGTCACAGAGTTCAGGGGCTTCAGTGTACAGAGGACAGAGAGTCCCATTAGTTTAAGCAATTTTCTGCAGCTTTATATAAAAAGTGTAGCCTGTGGAGAGCCATACAAACCACAGAGCACACCCACCTTCCTCTGTAGACAAACTTCATGGGCTCCACAGCCAGTGCTGTGGCCACGATGTCGTCGGCGTTGTGTCTGCGCCCGCTGACCACCATAAGCCCGTCCATCTTGCCCACCACGAACACAAGCCCTCCGGGGCCAATGAAGCCGAGCAAGCCCGTCCTCACGAAGGGGTACTCACTGACTGGGGCCCCTGAGCTCGTCACCGGGAACACCTGGGGACAAGGAACTCTTGAGTGCCTGCTGGGGTCCGACCTCCACCCTCCTCCGTGAAACCCACTGCTCCTGCTTCCCTCCGCTGGGTCTCTTCACCTGGCCCTGGTGGGAGAAGCCCAGATCTGCACAGCTGCCATGAGCGCCTGCCTGCAGACACATCCCCTTTCCCTGTTCCCACTCTCACAGCTCGTCCCCGGACCACATGCAGGGCCCTCTGAAGAGGCCTGCCACAGTCTAATGAACTCTAATTCATTCTTCTGCTTATAAAACCACAGCATAAAAATGGTTAAGTGGAGAAGCAAGGCACACTTTAAATAACATCTGTCAGTAGTAAAATGATTCTTGTTCATTACACTGCTGTCTTCCTTACTGGAAACACACTCAAAAATACAGAGGGAGCAGCCCCACCACGAGTTCAAACTCGACCCCTACTTTCCTCCCACCTAACACATAAGCCACACAGAACAGAAGACAGGTTTCATTTAGGCTGTGTCTGGCTCAGTTTCAAGGGCACTTAGAAACCTGAATCCAGACTCAACAGATCTGCCTGCACAAGCCACATCACGCATGTTCACATCCGAAGTTATATTTATAGCCTTTAAAAAATTTATCCCCAATCAACTCTATTTGCTAACATACAACTTAGTCAAAGTGTGCTCCTCCTAAGGTCAGCACACTTGGTGAAATGGTAAGAATTCTGAGAATGTTGGGTTTACCAGGCAGTGTGCACATGTGTGTGCTAACTGCATGCCACACCATGTGCACACAGCACAGACACATGCTTATGTGGTGGAGGCAGCTGTGCAGTGTGAATGCTTGGCCGAGGCGGACAGTTCCTAAGGAGGCCGCTGCGCCCTCCCCTCAGCAGGGCTGCGCGCTCCCCAGCCCCTACCCATCAGCTGCTGCTCTTTCTAGATGGGTGAGAATGGCAATGAGAAAAAGGCTGCCTCTAGAGAAACTGTACTTGCTCTTTCTCAACTCTGGTTATGAGGTGAAAACAAGGCTGCTAAGCCAAATTTATCAAAAGCTATATAAAATGGCGGGAGAAAGTACAACCATTTTAATTACCATGAACATGTTTTACTGAGAAATCACCATCTCCTTTCACATCTATTCCACGCACCTGGCAAAAGCTGTCTGATGGGGCTCACCTGCCACCTACCTCGAAGGTATTCTTGGTCATACCCGAGAGGCCGTAGTAGGACATGCCCGTGGCCACTGCACACACGCAGAGCTCCCCGACTTCGTCTGTCCTGCACAGCTGGGGAACCCCATCTGGCTTTACCGAACACATGATGGCTGAATGCAAAACAGGAAGCACAGGTGACTTTAGAGAGGGAGTGGGGGGAGCTGGAGAGGAGAAATAAATGGATACAAAAAAGAACACAAACAGAAGTAGCATCTGCAGCAAAACCACAAGTGAAAGAGAACAGGCCCTCAGAGTCCCTGAAGCAAGTTGTGATTTTCTTGTTGCATTAAAACATTTCATAGCTGTGCACTGCTTTAAGTTTAGGGTGTAAATGGGATTTACACACCATGCAGACATGAGGATGACACTGAGAACAGACCACATGGCGTGTGTCATCAGCCAGTGCACACGGCCTTCAGGACACAGTCTGAGCCCTGAAACCAATGAGCACAGGACACTGCCCCAGTCTCTTGAGCCCGTCTGAACAGAAAGCCTCCCCGTCCCATGGGAAGCTCGGTCTTTACCTCAGGATCCCCACTGAGGCGGACCCTGCAGGAAAGGCTGAAGGATGCTAGTTCTCCAGCTTGTGGCTCTGCACCCACCCCCACCCTCACCTCCAGGCATCACGAGGCCGACGTCCTGCACGGTGAGCACAGACAGCTTTTCCTCCGAGTCCACACGGATGACCCCGTAGGTCAGCCCATGCATGGACAGGACACCACGGCCTGGGGGCTGGTTGCTGTCGTCGGTGGGCCTATGAGGACAGGTTGCGTCTGATTAGAAGTATGTCAGCTGTCTGAACACAGACACGCGTGTCCACATGCCACCTGCACACCAAGGCTGCCCCTTCAGGCCCTAAGGGCAGACACAGCTGTCACACGCCCTGTGTTCTCTGCTCAGGACACACTGAGGTCTGCTCCTAAAAACTGCTAGACTCCTGAGACGCATAGAGATCCTACAGGGCTCCCTTGTGTCCCTGCCTTCCCCTTACATGCGTGCACTAGACACCAACCAACTCCTCCAACTTACTCCTTCTCCCTGCAAGGTCGGATCTTCTAGGTTTGAAAATGGCTAAGAAGGGAAACTCAAGTCTCCAGGAAGGAGAATGACAGCAGTGAACAGAAGTGCCAGACTGTGAGTGTGGCCTCCAGGTCAGACGTATACTGAGTGTGCGCACTCTCAGTTTTAAGAACTGGCAATTATTTGGATGAAAGACCAGCTATCAAGTGCTTGATGGTTAGGGAAGGTACAGCTTCCCACATCCAGGGTCTGCTGTCACCGCCCCAGCTCACCTCCACTTGTGTCCTCACTTCCACTCAGCATCTGGTGGTGCTCGCTCTCCATGCCCACCCACTTTCCTGGGGCCCAGGCCTCCTCCTCACCTCCGGCAGGGTGCCTTATGGCCCTCTCCTTCACTGTCCCCCAGGGTGGCTGGTCACCCGACTAACAGCACCTCCATGCCCTCCTCCACAACAGGTACCTTCTAACCATCCACCCAGGCCTCCTCCATGAGGGCAGGGGCTTTCCTCTGGTCACTGCTGAACCCCCACCCCTGGAGTAGCGTCCAGTAAAAAATGTCTGCTGACTAGATCAGTGAATAAACAAAACATTTACAGGATCATGGATTTTATCCCTGAAAACAAAAGATTCTTCAATGTGAGCAAAGGGAGAGAATATAATTTCGGTAAACATCACGTTTATTTCTCTAATTTTCCAAATATTTTTTCTATAAGACTGCTGGAAAAAGCCAAACGATCTTTTTGGCCAACCAAATACAAATGCCTAAGGTGTTTTAGGACCTAAAATACAAACTATAGACAGCAGTCTGCCATATGGCTTTGAAGTATTTCATGAAGGTTTACAATGAAACTAAAATACATAAATGGGGAAACAAAAGCTAAAATTTGCAATAACGGGTATTTGAATCAAGTTATTGGTATATTTTAAAAAGAAGCATATATATCAGTTATATTTCAATTAAAAAAAATTAGAGTCTGAAAATCAAATTATTCCATCTGTAACAACCAAGAAAAGTAGCACTAAGGAATACAAAACCAAAGTTGCCCAAATAGTAAGACCCACATGAAACCACCTGGAAATGAGCTCCAAACAGTAGAACTGATATTGATCTCCTGGCTGTATCTTTTCCAAAGGCTCCAATAAAACTGTAAAATGAAAGAAGAGCCTTACAGAAACCCTAGGGGGCCAGGACTCCCTCACCCTCATCCTCAATCAAGACCTCATGTTGAGAGTCAGAATCATCAGCCTGAGCACCTGCTGTGGACAGAACTATGCTCCCTCCAGAAGACATGCTCCTGTGCTAACCCCCTGTACCCAGAACGTGACTTTATTGGGAAACAGGGTTTCTGCAGAAATAAGTAGTTTGTAAAGGGTTATAGGTCTACAAGCCAGGGTTGCTGGCACCACCAGAAGTTGGAGAGATGCCCAGAACAGATTGCGTTCAGAACTCCAGACAAATCCAACCCTGCTGACAACTTAACCTCAGACACTAAGACCCCAGAGCTGTCTACTGTTACAAAAGCCCAAGCAAATGAACATTCTTAATAAAATTTATAGGTACGCCTGTTTTTATTTTAAAAATCCACATGAAAGCAAAATGCTGAACCAGCCAAGACATATCCCAAGTATGGGAAGATTTAAGAACTGATACGTTGTGACCAAGAGGCCAGGATGAGAAGTTCTTTCATGACCCAGCAGTGTATAGAGTCTGTCTTAGATATGAGATCCACTTTCCAACATCCAGTATTTAAATATCTTAAAATCATGAACTGCATTTATTACAGGAAATTTTCAATTATGTTTGTAAAATGCTAGTTATGGGAAGACTGAGTTCACTAACCTAAATGTAAACCAACAGCACTAACTACTCTCCCATTTTACAAAATAGAAAACCAATGCTCAGAAATGTTAACTTAGTTGCCTGTGTGAGTGGAAAGGCTTGTGGGGATTCAGCCCCACAGAGGAGCCCCTGTCCAACCATCCTGTCTCCTTTCCCAATACTTTCCCTTCCTCTGGCCTAGAAGACTAGGCAATTTTTAGTTCACTGTAAGTTTTTTCATAAAGTTTTAAAACAGTGGTATGAGTAACGTGAGCACACCCTTCGGATGGACACAGCAAGCTCTGCATGAGAACACACGGCAGAAGGCTAAGACTCTGCTCACCTCCAGCCCCACCCCCTCCTCTGGCAGCCACTACCCACGGTAAGAGTGAAGTTTCAGTCTTTTTGGTCTTATTGCCTATAAAATATGTGCACACACAAATGTGTTTACACCAAAGAGAAGCAGAACCCCATGTGCACATTCTTCTGCAACCTGCTGTTCTCACCAAACACCTCACAGAATTTACCACATGGGTGTGTGCCTGTTAACACATACAGGATATGTCCTGGACACACCAATGAACTGACCTGCTTTAATTATTACATGGTGTTCAATCATACCAACACATTTTTCTTTCATTTAATTCGTACGCATTTGGAAATATTTCTGTAAGATACATACCTAGAAAGGGAATGGAGGGATCAAAGAGCATATACATTTAAAATTTTAATAAAGCCTAAATACCTTCTCAAAATAGAGAAGCAAATGGCAACCCACTCCAATATTCTTGCCTGGAGAATTCCATGGACAGAGGAGCCTGGTGGACTACAGTCCTTGGGGTTGCAAAGAGTCGGACATGACTAAGCATGCATACACACACCTTCTCAAAAGGCTGTGTCATTTTGCAATCCCACCAAGAGTGAATGAATATTACTATGTTTTCACTCACAGTCCACTGCACTGTGGGCTCAGAATACTGTTCTTAAGCATTTTACATATGTTAACTAATGTCTTCTTCACACAAGCCGATGAGACAGGCATGACCGTTCCTCACTCATAGACAGGACATGCACCACCAGGGCGACGGTGGTGGAGTTGGCCAGGCAGCATGCCCAGACTGGCTTCAGAACCCATGTCTTCTACCTCGGTGCTAAGCTGCCCTCAGCCTTACCCGTTTCCACACACCTGTGCTGACACTGATCACCAACCTTATAACTGTTTCCAACATGGTGAGTAAAATGCATTTCTCATTCTTGTTTCAATTTGTATTTCCAGGATTATTAACCAAGTCAGGTGATCTTTTTCTCCATTAACACCCTCCTAGGAAATAAAAAGTCCAAGGAGATAAACTAGGTGAGGGGAGAAAAACCAATCCCAATAAGCAAGATTCTTAGGAATTTCAAAACATCTACTTTAATAATCAAAACAAGTAAACTAAATAACGGCCGAGAGTGCCACAGACCCATTTGTCAGCTTCCAGGTTCAATTCCAAGATGAACAGTGTACTTATGCATCTCACACAGAACATAAATTACAGGAGGAACCATCCTGGCAATCTCAGGACCACACAGAGCTGTCTTCACAGTCTAAGAAAGCACACAGCAGGAATGGTGAACACTGCCATGGTGGAAAAAGGGAAAAGCCCATCTGAAGCCAAAGAAGAGGCCCCGCAAGGAAGGAGCTGATAGAGAAGGCCTTCAGTGGGCAGTCTGTACCCACTGTTATTTGTGGTGCCATTTTTATAGCCTCTAACACACTCAACATGATCAGCCTTGAGCTGATCACACTTCTACAAGGCCTAAAGAAAGAGCTCCCGCACATGCAATGAACACATCAACACTGTGCAAACAGCCAGCCAGGCTCAAACATTCAGCGATGCCAAGTAAGTGGGGTCAAGTCAGCAACAAAGATTCTGAGGACTTCCGCTGCTGGGACTCAACAAGGTAACTACATCTTCTTAGTGCCACTGACATCCTCCAAGACCTCGGCTAGCTGGGACAACAAAGGCACAAGGTTGAAACATAGTACTCCCCAAATTAGGAGTTATTTTAATGTAGTTTTGTCCCTTTTCTCTGATGAGAGCAATACATGCCACATTAAAAAACCATTTTAAGAGCTGAGTAACATACAAAGGAACGTTTCTCCCTATATCACATCCTCACCTATTCAGTAAGTATGTAGATAGATTTTTTTTTTTTTCTGCTAAATCTATTACTTACAGAGGCTTAATTTTCTCTCAGCCAGAAAAGGGATCACACCATACATGTTGTTTACAAGATGTGTTCTTCATTTGTCCTGGTTACTTTTCCCTGTCAGAGAGCAATCATCCAAAACCAGCAGGGAGACAGCCTGCAAGTCTGGGGTTAGGGAGGCTACTTCCCAGCATCTCCCCCTGTGAACCTCAGTCTCCATCAAAGCAAACTTCTGTGCTCAATTCAGTATAACACCAAACACAGTAAAATCAACTCAAACACACATGATCAGGACAATGAGATAACATGGCTACTCTGCTCTTCACTGCTACCTCATTAAGTCATTTTAATTTAGATGATTATCATCTCCAAACTATTTTGTTAGAGAAGTTTTAAAATTTTATCTAAATTTTTAGATAAAATGACGAACAATGTATTTTTATTTCTTATGTTTTAAAAATAAGATTATGGATCTCCAAACTCTGACTCTTTTGGGCAGTCAAAAACATTCTTGAAAACCCCACTTCAACCCCATAGGCTGTGTTAACTGTTTTTCAGTCTGGATCACTAGTTGGTTTGCCTCTGTCAGAAATCGTCAAATTTCAGTATAACCTAGGGGCTACATGGTAAGGACAGTTCCCTGTTTGCTATCTTTGCCTTTTGTTTCTGCCCAGCTTTCTAACTACTAAATTAGATACTTTTTCAAGGTGGAAATATTTATG